GGTTTTGCATTTGCCTTTTGCGCTGTCTCTTTATATATTTGGTTTTTGCTCACATAAAATTTGTATTAGTATTATTTGCAGCATGTTCTGTATGTTATTGTTTCCTTCTAAGGCCGTCAATTATAGGAAAAAATTGAACAAAACAAATATTATTTACTTAAAATAAACAACGTAATAGTCAATATAATAATTGAATTCAATACTAGAAATAGTAAGCATATTATTTTTTCTCTTTTTCAGAGTGATCAGCGATCTCAACACTACTACTGCTACAATGAAATCCCAAATTTAAGCAATATTGTTGTTGTGGTCATTGATTTTGCTTTTAAACTATAAGTATATACTTTACTTAACTATAAAGTATATACTTTTTTTAATTTCATTTTCCATTCCGATCCATTACGCATTGATTAATTTACATTTTTTCCATTCTTTTCTTCTGATCAACTCGAGGTAAAATCACTTAATTTTTCAATGTATGTGTGATGCGGTGGGCTTGTTGTGCTGGCAGTTACTACAGTTGAGAGTCGTGTGTGTCAGTTGATAGTCGAAATAGAGAGGAGAGGTCCATCAGGCCACCGCGGTGACCCAAAAATTTTAAATTTTCACACTAGAAAAATTGATGTAGCATCTAAAATTCGACAAAAATATCGCGCCGTGTTCATTGAATTAATTCATGATTATTGTGTATTAGCAATGCGTATTTACATCCTCGCATCGTTGTTTTTTTTTATACAAAGTGAATAAAGCCATGGACGATGACGACAACGAATTTTTCAATAAGAAAGGAATTGAAGTAATCGAAAATTGTTTTCTATCAGTTCTTGCTGAGAATATCGGTGGTATGGTTCCAGATAATTTTCGACGTTTGATTCCAACACGATTCATTTGGCCAACAAGATCTGGACTAGGAAATGCATACAATTACATTGTCGAAACATACACAACAAATGTAATATGCAATTTAACATCACATTACTCTCAACGACTGACATTTTATTTGGAAATTGTGGCATATGAATGGAATCATCGTATTGAGAGCACGAGAAGAGCGTCGTATTAATGCACAAGACATCAAAAATTGGTATCTAAATGCCGCTAACGAATAGATGCCGACTGCAATGCAAACCACCACTGTCTGGCATCGCGACATTGTAGCAGTAAAAAACAATACTTTGCTTTGAATAAATTTGTAGTAATAAAATTATATTAACAATAGACCATAAACAGCTGAGTAATTTGCAAACACAATTTTTATATATTAAAAACATAATTAATCAAAATTTTAAACTTATTCATACTTAAGGACATAATCCATGCAGTTTGGAAAAACATCTTTTGGAAATCGGAAGAGAATGAAGCAGAATATAAAATAAGGATTTCCAATCTGAAGTTCAAATAAAAAATCATTTGTTTCACTAAAAAACTTGTTGTGTTGTAAAATTTAAATTTTCGATATAATGTTTTTATTATTAACCCTCCTAGGTATAGAGTAAAAACAAAACTTGAACGGATAGAGTCGGTCCATTGGACCGCCCCTACAAAATGTGTGAAAAGTCTATGAAATGAACAAAATTATATATTTTACTTTTCCGCACACACCTAGTGTGTAAGGTAAAGTATTGGAATCGGTCGAAAAATTAACACCCCCAAAAAACATGTTTTCTGGGTGTTTTAGGAGCCAGGGAACACGAATCTAGCGTTTTTTCGATGTCCGAATGTATGTGCGTGGTACGCTGTACGCTGTACGCAAAAATTTGTTAACACGATAACTTTCAAACAAGAAAATTAATTCAAAATATGACTTCACAGGATAATTGGGGGTGCCGAAGAATAGAAACCATTAGATTTTGAGCGACTTTGGTTGACAGAGTGAAGTGTCATGTCTGGTGTGATGCCTATGGCCATCCATGGGAAAAATTCAATTTTTCTTCCAAAAGTGATATTTAATGTATACTTAAACACTCAAAAATGTGTATTGGGGATTTTGGGGTACGAGAAAACCGAATATGACATTAGTTTTGCGATACAACTTTCGACACAATTTTCATACAAAAATGTCAAAAAAATTGAATTTTTGCATGGAAGCCATGCCTGTATGATATCGTAATGAGCTGAAACTTTGCACAGGTTATTTTTATCACACAAAAATGCCATTTTGAGAGTTTGAAGACATTTCAACGCATGTTAGGGGTACCTCCCGAACAAAATTTTAGATTTTTCGCTCAAAAACGAAATTTTGTATGGGAAGTACCCTTAATATGTATTGAAATTTCTACAAACTTTCAGAATGTTAACTTTTTGTGAAAAAAATAACCTCTGCAAATTTTCACATGATTACGATATCATATAGGCATGGCTGCGATATAAAAATTCCCATTTTTAGTAGTTTTTGTATGAAAAGTGCTTCGAAAATTATTTGTATCGTAAAACTAATGTCAGATTCAGTTTTCTCGTGAATTCTTTGAGTAAAATATTTGTAATAAATGCATGTTATGGATCACAGTGCAGAAAAGTTCATCTTACGGATGTAAGACATTTTATTTTTTGTTGAAATTTTCATTATAATTTTATTTAAATGGGAAAAAAGGTTGAAAATAAATAATTTATGACAAAATTAATTGGAATCTGATGATGCAGTTTCATACGGACGCTTTTTGGTGCAGTTCGTACACATCACAATTCTTTCGGAATGTTCACCAAAAACATTTTTCATACATTTGCTGCACTGTGTTCGCGTCTTTCTATTGATTTTAGTGGGACATAAATGACATACACTTTTTTTATCTTGTTTGGTTTGCTTTGTTGAAGTTGACGGTGCTGTTGAACTGTGCTGAGTACAGCTCGATGCGCTTTATTAAATCCATAAGTAGATCTGCGTGCTATTTGATCATACACCAATTTCTTGCGTTGAAATGAATATCGATCTCGTGTAATTCCATGTTTTGCATTATAAACAATGAACGCAGCGAGTCCACAATGTGGAGTCCATATACATTGATCAAGTTCATGAAGAAAGGCCAACGATTTCTGCCTCGTTGACATGAATAGCTATGACACAGTTTATCTGAATGATCAACGCCACCTTTTGTGCTGTTATAAAATGTATTGATTTCATCTTCAGAACCCACACTTTTGATCGACAGCGAACGAATCATGTCTCTGTGTCTTAGCTTATATACACATATACACACTTTCTTTCTTTTTTATTCTTTGCTACATTGCTGAATCTTCTCTATATGCACCGTTTTATAACGCAAAATTCAGAATGTGCATTGTTGATAGTTTTGAATTGTTTTATTTTTTAATGTTTATATGAGTCATCCAATGGACCGCCACTATACGTTCTAGGTGAGATTTGGTTTTATCAAATGTCCACAACATATACAATTATTTTATGATAGAAACAGTATGCACATGAATTATAAACTTCTATACGAATAATCTGCCCGAGAAATTTTGATTTTTTTTAATTTACTTACCATTAGATTTTTATTCAATTTTTTCACCTTCTATACCTAGGAGGGTTAATGTCTATTTGTTTTATTTTTAAATGTGAATATGAACATGATTATATCTATTGAAAATATCGAGAGGAGAGTATGTTTTTATTTAGACATTACTCAGCCAAAAGCGCCGAATAACATAATCTCTTCTCGATATATTCAATAGATATTGCAATCTTTGTATTCAAAATGATTTTGGAGATTGATTCATTCATCTCTGGTCAAACATGATTTTCACTTCGAATGTTTATAGCGTTAAAATACAAATATTTATTTGAACAAAAAAAAAAAAACAAACAAAAAAATGATACTTAAACATAAAGGAATCGATCATATATAATTCAATCAAAGAGAAAAGGTTATGTTTTGTATCTCTCAATAAGACATTAAAAAATAGTTGCACGAAAATATAGAAAGAGGCTGAGTTTTTGCTTAAAAAGATAATTAATGTGTTTTATCATAGGTATCTTTATGCGTGTATCCTGAAACGTATCCAGCATTATCAACGATATCTTTTCGCCCAGCAATTCCTTTTCCTTTGCCTGTTTCATCAAAACGTTCTTTGTGCGAACCTGTATATTTCGATGGGTCTGTTAATCGACTTATAGCAGCAGCCGCCTTTCCATTCTGTTAAAATCATTTTTTTTAAATATCAACGCTTTTGATCATTGAATCGAAAATTAACCAAATAATGACTCACATTGGAAATTTGAGCGAGACCCGGCGACCCACAATTAGCCAATTTATTTTTAACTTCAGCCAAATCTACTTTCTTTGTCGTGGCCAAATCGTCGAGGAATTTGTTATAGTCAACAAAACCAACTTTTAATGATTTCAACTTCTTGAAATGAATGGCGGTGTCGGTGGTTGTGATTTTTTTATCGATGACTTTTGCTTGTTTCATCCATTTATCACTTTGTGATAGTGTAATCAATTTACCATCGGATTTCGTGTCACCAAATTTCGAGAATGCTTTAAATTGCTCTTTGAATTCGGGATTAGCGCCATTACATTTGCCATTCTCTTCAATTGACAGGTTTGCAAGAGATGTATCTATAGTTGGTGCATCAGCCGCCATTCTCATTCAATCTGAAATTCAAAACAAAAAGTAAAAAAGTCTCACCAGCAGTATTTTTTTATTAACTGAGTTTTAAACTTTTCATTGCCAATGAATCATTGGTGAATGTTTCAGGGAATACCACCACATCAAAATAGTGAGCTAAATATTTTTATAACTTAAAAATAAGTCATATTTCGTTACGTGCACACTGCATCGCCATCGCTCGACTATCTTTGTACACAGACACAAAAGGCTTGTTTACTCTTTGACAAGACCAATGGAAGTGGTATTTTTCAAAACCAATTTTTGGGATATTTTAATTTATTCGTTCAAAAAAAAATTGAGGAACAATAACCGAGTCTTATTAAGTCTCGAGCTACAAACAAATTTCACACTAAACTATTCTTTTGGAATGACCCGAAGTCCGATCATGGTATAGGATTTCCTATATAAACCTTGTAACTAACAACACCTCTAATGCGTATTCTGAGTACTAATCGAAGTTTGTGACAATATGACTACAGGGGTGTGACTGTAATGTCAGTATTTGCAAAAATATACGAGACAATAATCCACAATCAACTCAAATTGGTGGTCTATCCGCGCTTATCAAGGAATCAGCATGGTTTTGTGCCAAATAGAAATATTTCATCGAATTTATTGGAATTCACATCATATATCCAACACGCATTCGAGGGCAAAAATCAAGTAGATGTATTCTATGCTGATATAAAAAAAGCATTTGATTCTGTGAACCAACGAAAACTTATACGGAAGATAGCTCGCTTTCCACTTAGTAATTCAGTACTCAAATGGTTCGAATCATATTTCTCAAATCGAACTCAATATGTAAAAGTGGGATCCGAATCCTCGGAAAGCTTCAACGTGCCATCTTCGGTGGGACAGGGGTCAGTTTTGGGCCCAATTCTGTTCTTAATTTTCTTCGATGATTCCGACAACCACATAGTTAGCTCATTGTCACTAAACTTTGCCGACGACAAGAAAATCGCGCATATTATCAAGACGCCGAATGACTCAGCTACTCTGCAAGCAGCAATTGATGATTTCATAACATGGTGTGAAGACAATGATTTGCCAGTTCATGCAATGAAATGTAAAATATGACGTTTTCGATAAAAAAGATTAACTTGCACATGAATTACTTTATTGGGGGAGTGCCTATTGCAAGAACTGACAGTATTCGAGACCTGGGAGTAATGCTAGACTCAAAATTGAATTTTTCTGAGCATATAGAATACGTTACTAATAAAGCGCACGTTATACTCGCCTTCGTTAAAAGACATTGTTATAAGACACTCAATGTCGACATTGCCAAAATTTTGTTTTATGCTCTGGTCAGATCACACTTGGAATTCGCTAACCAAGTGTGGCTTCCACACCACTTAAAATACATCAACTCAATTGAAAGCATTCAGAAACAGTTTCTCAAGTTCATTCACCCAAATAACAGCGCGAACAATCAACATGACAAGTACGAACTCCGTCCATACCAAGACCGTTGTGCAGACATGAATATAACCACATTACAAAGAAGAAGAGTTAACACATGCATTTTATTTATTCACGATGTCATATCTGGTAAAATTAACTCTCCCCGTCTACGAAACCAAATATCGTTTTTCAAAATAAACTATTTTACGAGAAGTCCTGATTTTATCAAATTGGATCGCTGCAGACTCGATTGTACTGATAACTCACCATTTCGAGTGGCTTGTCGGTTATATAATCGGACTGCTTTAAATGTTGATGTAACTCTGGACAGAGAAGCTTTTAAAAACCAAGTCATCCGATTACCAAGCTCAATTTTTGAAGAATTTTGTATATAATCTAGCTGTGATAGAATTTCTAACAGTGTTTAAGACTGAATTGCTATAAGACTAAATTTAGATTCAACTTAAATTCATTATTTGACGATTAACTGTGATTGATTAACTACTAGGGGGTTCCGACTTAAACGAATGATCCATATGCGAGCGAATTTTTCCTATATATTTTGCAAATGTAAACGAATGGTCGCAAATGTTTCTTACAAATTGTGCGAATGGTGGCGGATGTTTCATACAAATTTGCGGACGGTGTCGAATGTTTCATACACATTTTGCGGATGGTGCATATGAAAAGTCATAGTTTTACATTCAAAAAGTCAAAGTGACAGATTGGGTGACAGAGATTCAAGCCGAATTGATATTTTTTTTGGTAATATTGAGTGAAGTTTTTCTAAAATGGTAAATAAATCTTTGCCACTCGTAATATAATCACTGTAAACGGTGCCTTGTGAAATGTTTTTATTCTCATTGACGTAACTTTCAATTTCTTTTATATTATCTGAATTTATTTCTAAAATCTCACTTTTCGAATCGAATACGGCTTCTAAAATAATAGTCAACAAATAATCTTGTATTTTTTTCTTCAACTGTTTTTCAAATTTAGTTGAGAACAATGACACACACACGGAAATAATGTATAGATTATTGGAAGAAATGATTTTTTTTCTTAAATCTATACAAAAGTTTAGATATCTCAACAAAAATTTATTTTTTATTAAAAAAATATTTTCTCAATTTCAATAAATATTGCGATACATATTTATCAACGAGCGCCAAAATACATCATTTAATACAGCCTTTTCTCTTCACACGAAAGAACAACAACAATTACATGGCTACACTCGAACGGCGACTATAGAGAATGCAACCACTACTTATGCAAACACTACGGATGTATATACTTTACTTCGTATATTTCATGTATGAATAGGAAAATGTTCATTTGAATGCTTAAGAATAATAATGAAACTTAATTTTGGTTCAAACTGGAGTGGGACACTCCAGTTTGAACCAAAATTAAGTTTCATTATTATTCTTAACCATTCATATATTCCGTATAAAATGGCATTCTCATATAGTAAAATGCCCCTAGAGTAAAAATGAAAGTAAATTTGAAATACGAATGTTAATGATTCATATATTGATAAAGTCAATCCCACTATATGTACTATTTTCTATTATTCTAAATTTGTATAAATACCAATACTTTTCATGAATAAAATCATTTCAAACTTAACTCTGCTAAACACAACAAAAGAGGGAGCAAAGAATGTAAGCAATGTTACGTTAACAAATATTTTTTTTCGTAAGATGCAAAGAATTATCATTTTTCTCAAATGGATCATTAGCTTGCTCAATAGAAAGAAATATGGGGTGACAGGATGAAGGTATAGAGATGAGATATATTTTTACATTAGTTTTCTCTCGAAAGGAGAGCTTTGTATGAATCTTTAGAGCTGTGTGAATGGTTCGGTGTGATGGGTAGTGTAGTACTATAATGATGTATCAGGTTAATCGAAACCAATCACAAAGCTCCGCAAGTTCGTGCAAAGATAATTTTCGTCGCACAACTATGTTCTATTGACATTTTAATAGTGTGAATCTATATATGAGAGCCTGAAACCCAAAACAAATTATAAAAATTCTTTTTAAAACGAGAATATAGAGAACTGAGAGTTAAAACAACACATAGAATAC